AGCTCAAACACCTGCGCATAGAAGGTATGCGTAAAGTCAAACACATTGGTGTTGAGTTTTGCGGTGCTGTGGCCGTCCCATTTCAAGGACTCGAGAGTCTAAGATTTTACGACATGCCAGAATGGGAAACATGGTCCCGTTCGGCAGATGGTGAGGAATACGAGAACCAGTTCCCTCAGCTTACTCAGCTTACAATATTCAAATGCCCCAAGTTAACTAATGTTTCTCCATTGAAGCTTCCCGTTCTTTGTGACTTGGATCTTCAGGAATGCAATAACGTAGTGTTACGAAGTTTCAGTAATCTTAAAAAGTTAAACTACTTGAAAGTTGAGTCTGTTACAGGGCTATCTCATCTACCGGGGGAACTTCTGCAGTCCACGGAATCACTTGAAGTTTTAGAGTGTTGTAACTGCAGGGAACTGCTTTCACTGTGGGAAAATGGAGATACAGTAGAACATCTTGTCCGTCTAAGACGCCTCGTCGTTGCCGACTGTTCGGAACTTGTATTCCTTTGCAAAGAGGAGCACCAGATGCCTTCTAATCTTGAAGTTTTAGAGTTATTTCGCTGTCCAAGTCTAATTTCCATTCCAAATATGAGCAACCTCAGGATCTTGAGAGAGTTTATCATCAAGAATTGCAAAAGACTTGCCAGCTTTCCGGAAAATGGTGTCCCTCCCATGCTTCGACGCCTTGAGATACTCAGTTGCAATGCCTTAGTATCCCTGCCCAGTAGTTTCTCAAACCTTGAAAGGCTGGAGGTTAAGGACTGCTCGTCTCTGAGGACCTGTTTAGATGGTAACTTCCCTATAAGCCTTAAGAAACTTACAATCAAAACCTGCAATCAACTTTCAGAGGCCATGCTTCCACCGAACAATGAAATTTCTCTGGAAGAGCTTACTATATCCAAATGGCTGAATTTCAGCTCTTTACTTCAGCGTGTGCACAGCTTTTCACATCTTTTTGAACTGTACCTATCTGATTGTAATGGTCTAGATAACTTCCCCGAAAACGGGTTGCCGCCAAACTTGAGAACACTTTCCATTGAACATTGTTCAAATCTCAAGGCCTTACCAATGCAGATTCGAAACCTCACATCCCTCGTATCACTGGAGATACGTACCTGTCGCAGGCTTCAGAACTTTCCGAGATGTGATTTTCCCCCAAATTTATCTTCACTAAGGATCTGGGATTCTAGGAAACTCGAGCCTCTAGCAAGGTGGGGCCTACACAGACTAACCTCTCTTGAAGAATTTTCTATCTGTGGCGGCTTTCAAGAACTGGAGTTTCTTGGTGATGATGACAGTCTCTTTCCTCGTTCTCTAACTAAGTTTTCTATTGCAAGATTTCCAAAACTTACTTCGCTCTCCAAGGTTCTTGAAAATCTCACCTCTCTGCAACACCTATCAATCATGAATTGTAGAAACCTTAATGATTTGCCCAGCGAAAACCTGCTCGACAAGCTTTGGCGTCTAGAAATAAGGGACTGTCCTCCTCTGAAACAACGGTGTCTCAAAGATAAAGGGGATTACTGGAACAAGATAGCTGGAATTCCTTGTGTGGAGTTAGATGACACTTAAATTTACAGACAGAGTTCGGGTTAAGTTGCAGCAATTTTTCCTTCTTTCAGGTCATCAGAGACCATATCTTTATGTAGTCAGGTAAAAAAATTTGTAGACAACGATTTTTTCTTTTTTATCCATTGAAAACCTGTTGTTGACATGATTCAAACAGAAATTAACTAGCATATTGCACAAGAAATGAAGAACTTAAGTCCTGTCATCCCTTCTAAATTACCTTCTTTTTATGTGCAGTTAACCAGCATTGTCTAAATCTGTTCATTTATGGTCGACCACTCCCTGTACAAGACTAAGAGAAAGTATCAATTTCGATCAAGGGTGATTAAACTTTCAAGCTGGTCAGTCGCAACTTATTAAGCATTATCTTGTCGTTGATGCTGGCTCTCAACATACTACCACAGCAAGAAGTATGAAAATCTGTAGAGAAAGTTGAGTTTCTAAATGCATTGATAGCGATTTCCTGATATTGTAGAATACTTTCAAATTTTTATACTGAACTTTCAAAATAGTGCTTATCCAATTGTTGTTTGTCTCTGTATTTTTTGGCAAGTGATTTTACCATTTGACAAAGAACAAAATAATGTCTCTAATTATAGCTTGAAAATTTCACATCTATTATGTGGACCATTTGTGTAGTGATTATGCTACTTGTGATTGGAGAAATTTCAAGTGTCATTTTGTTGAATCTCTTCATCTAAAAACTTGCGTTCTTACAAATTGGACAAATCTATTCATTTAACGTTTGTCTTCGATATCCCCGTCACTTGTAGACCACCAGATTTAAAGCATGTAGCATAAAAAAAAAAAAGGCATATTTGCCCGCAAAGGCTAACAAGTGCACAATTCTACATTCAAATGCTTTGTTGATCTGCCTAACTCAAACTTTAAGCTTTCAGAGAATGGCTGTCTTCAACACCTCCTTACATATTTCATATTTATTTGTGCTGCCTTTTGTTATTTACTTGCTCAACTGGCTGGCGTGGACATGTGACTCACGTTCGTATTTTCTTGCGTTCTTGTAAAAAATAATTGTGTTGTACGGTAAAAGTGGTCACAATTGGACCTGGAACAAATTTTCCCTTGTGTCTCACGAATTGCAATGTGTGGTAAGTTGAATTTGCAGAGCTAATTGAAGAGCTTGCCTAATGACTACAGTCTGTTCTAAGATTGCAATTCTATTAGGAGAAAAAGGCCCCTGTTTTTAGTTCTATATATTGGAGTTTGATTTGAGTTTGAGGGTTAATTAACATTTTGTCTTTAGAATGCTCCAATTCTTTCCATGAAAGGTCGAGGCAGTTGCACAAACAAGGCAACAGATAATGCACTTGAGGTTGGACTCAAGGAACAAATGACTTGATCACACAGCTCTTGCAATTTGCATAATCATTTCACCCTTTCATCCGAGTAAGAACTTTAACAAAGAGCAGAAATCAACCCGGGAAAATTGAAGATGGGTCCCAAATCTTTCACTTAGTTACAGATTGTGCTGAAACCTTCAACCTGTTGCATCCACAATTCCAAATATCTCATTTCATCACACCTGAGGAACAAATGTCCATTTGACCGTTCATGAACCTACATTATTTTCATCACGCTGAACACATACAGCGAATCCCTACATTCATCCATGGCAAGGCTTCAAAGCAACGAGTGTGACACTCTCTGTTCTCAACCCAGCAAGAAAAGAGACTGCAAACCAATGGAGGTTGAAGAAGCGGCACTTACCCTCATGATGCCATCACTCCCGTTGCGGCTGGGGATTTTGTAAGGGATTGTGCATTTGGTGGGTGTTTTGTGGATGCAAAAATGGAACATATTTTTTTCAATTACTCTGTTTGATACAGAATGACATTAATAATTATCCACGATGGCCAATGAGGTGAGAACTACTTGATATGCACTCCGCGTAGAGCACCACATGATAGGCTGTCTACCCCTGCAGGCTGTCTACCACCATGAGACCCTCTACGTTCACATAGGCCCTCACCACTATAAGGCCCATTACCACCATGAGGCCCTCTACGTTCACATTAACCATCTACCACTATGAGGCCATCGATCACCATGAGACCATCTACGTTCACATAGGCCATCTACCACTATGAGGTCGTCGACCACCATGGGGCTGTCTACCACCATGAGGTTGTCGACCCCTGCAAGGCCGCCTACTACCATGAGACCATCTACATTCACATAGGCCGTCTACCACTATGAGGCCGTCGACTCCCATGAGGCCGCCTACCACCATAAGGACTTACGTTCACATAGGTCGTCTACCACAATGAGGTCGTCGACCCCCATGAGGTGCTCTACATTCACATAGGCCATCTATCACTATGAGGCCGTCGACCACCATGAGGCTGTCCACCCCTATGAGGCTGCCTACCACCATGAGACCCTCGACGTTCACATAGGTCGTCTACCACTATAAGGTTGCCTACCACCACGATGCCCTCTACGTTCACATAGGCCGTCTACCACTATAAGGTCGTCGACCACCATAAGGTCGTCGACCACCATAAGGCTGCCTACCACCATGAGATTGTCGACCACCATGAGGCCCTCTACGTTCACATAGGCCGTCTACCACTGATGTCGTCGACCCCCATGAGGTCACCTACCACTAGAGGCCATCTACGTTCTCATAGGCAGTCTACCACTATGAGGCCACCACTACCATGAGACCCTCTAAGTTCACATAAGCCGTCGACCACGGCCACCACCATGAGGCCGTCAACCCCCACGAGGCACTCTACGTTCACATATGCCGTCTGTCACTATGAGATTGTCGACCACAATGAGGCTGTCCACCCCTATGAGGCNNCACCATGAGACCCTCTACGTTCATATAGGCCGTTTACCACTATAAGGCCGCCTACCACCTGAGGCCGCCTACCACCTGAGGCCGTCGACCCCCATGAGGCCGCCTACCACCTTGAGGTCCTCTTACATAGGCCATCTACCACAATGAGGCCAACGCTACACTTAACCATACAAATGACAATGAGTTGGACGGGAACCGCTCAACGAAAAACGTGGGTACAACCAATTGCTTGAGGAGTGGGGGTCATCCCATCAGAATGTGGAGGAAGTGGGAAGATTTACGTGGGACACGTGGCACCATTAACTGCTGAACGAGTGCATTATATTAGGTGCCTATAAATGCCCCTACGGTGATAAAGGTATGGCTCTCTTGAAACCTGAACTAATTGAATTGCAATTATACTCTCTTCCTACTTCCTTAAACCGAATACTGATTCTCACGCTGGAGGTACAACATGGGAGAAAGCCCCGACCTCGTTTTGCAGGTAGCATTCATTAATCGGAGTAGTCGGAACACCCTACTCGTCAAGGAGAACACGGAGGTCTATTTCACTACAATTTCATTTGCACCGTCCGTGGGAATCGACTGAACAAAAAAGCTATGTCAAGGAGACGGACTAGGAGTGAAATGCGGATGAAAGAAAATGCGGCAGAGATGGAGTTGGAATCTGTTGCAAGGGGTCACGACCCGCCACCACCACTACAGTACATGACGTAGAGCCAATTCAATGCCTTGGAAACTCAATGGCAACCATGATGGCCCTTTTGCAGAGTTAAACGCAAAAAGCCGCAGCCCCACCACATAATCCATTAGAGGCCGTACGAGACCAACTGTCCTAAGTGGTGCAAATGGTTATCCCGCCTGTTACTCAGCCAACGGTGGAGGACTTAGGGATTGCATTTTCGCCCCGACTCAAGATGGACTTGGAAAGGAAGATGGAAGAGATGATGGCCCAAAAAATAGATGATGCATTAACTAAGATGAAGGATAGGCGAAGGCAAATGATTTTGGAAGAAGATCCTTTTGCACCTAAAATAATGGCAGTTCCCTTACCGAAAGGCTTTAAATAGCCGATGATAGAGCATATGATAGAGTCGCAGATCCGCTTGACCACATGTAGACCTTCGTTGATTTAATGAGGCTCTATGCAGCCCCAGACGCAGTGATGTGTCGGTCCATTCCCCCAACACTCAGGAGAGAGGCTAGAGACTAGGTGGTCACCTTGGTACCTAGGTCTATAAAGACTTTTGATGAGCTTTCCAGGAGTTTTGTGGCATACTTCAAGAGTAGCAAAAGAAAGCGGAAGACGATCATTGGATTGATGCAGATTGTGCAAGAGAAAGACGAATCTTTGCAGGAGTACTTGGCTAGGTTTAGCCGAGCAACACTTGGTATAAAGGACCTTCAAATGTCTGCAGTGGTAACAACATTAATGAAAGGGACGCGAAACCGGACCTTTAAGATGTCACTCTCCAAAAACCCTCCAGAATCAATGCATGAACTGTTGAAAAAAGGTGACAAGTACGTTGATGCAGAGGAAGGAGAGAAGATCACTAAAAATCTAAGAAAAGGATGGGAGGCAGAAAGTCACAAGTGAAAGATAGGTGATGAGCGAGAACCCATTGATAAAGACAAGCCGAGGAATGAGCGCATAAACATGGGGTACACTTAGGATCAGTCGGTTAGGCAGAGGCAAGAGAAGGTCAAAGCCTTCACCCATTTAAATACTCCACGGGCTAAGATATTGATGAAAATTTGGGACATGAAAGAGCTTGATTGACCGAGACCTTGATTTGTGATTGATTGAAGCGAAGACTACAAATTTCCCATACTGCCCCGAAGATCGCTCAACATAGCGGTGAGCAACAAAGTCAAGAAATTGGTTAGCTCAAAATCGCTCTAAGGAGTGGTGATTATCACCATACCCTATACTTTACTGCTTCGAAGATCGCTCAACACATAGCGGTAAGCAACAAAGCCAAGAAATTGGTTAGCTCAAAATCGCTCTAAGGGATGGTGATTATCACCAGACCCTATACCCTACTGCCTTGAAGATCGCTCGACACATGGCAGTGAGCACAAAGTCAAGAATTGGTTAGCTCAAAATCGCTCTAAGGGCTGGTGATCATCACCCGACCCTATCGAAGATCGCTCAACACATAGCGGTGAGCAACAAAGTCAAGAAATTGGTTAGCTCAAAATCACTCCAATGGCTGGTGGTGAGTTTTCAAAACTAAAAATGGTTAAAACTCAAAATCACCTGACCCTGCATTCAACAACCCAAAATCGTTTGACATACAACGACGAACAACGAAGACAAAAAATGATCAGTTAGCTCGAAATCACTAAAAAGTCTGAGAAAGAACCTCAAAAACTAAAACTTGGTTAAGACCCACCCCGAAATCATGCTCCGCATTCGACATAGCCT